TGAATAATTGAGAAACCACTCTCCCAATGGTTTTTGGCCAAAAATGACTAATATTAGGTCATCTGTCCAACCTGTCATATTGTGATACTGTGACGCAAGGATCAAGATAGAGAAACTAGGTGGTGCTCAATCATCAAAGTGGTTGTTCATGTTTTGACCTGTTGGGCTTTTGTTGAAATGAGTTCAACCTCAAATGAACCTTATGGGGAATTCAGAATGAAGCTCGTATGCATGTTGCATGGCGCTGGTGCCACCAAAAAAATACAGTTGTCAAGCTGAGGAAAAAACTGACCTGTACATGTTGTCAGATTTGCCAACATTGGAGATGATCTAATAGTTAGAACTTGAAAAAAAGTTTTAGATTGTCTTTTACTCACTCAAGTCTTTGAATTGCTGAAGTCCTTAAAGTCTCATAATAAGTTGTTGTCAAGTGGTTTGGTGGATTCTGAATTTCTGATTTTGTTTTGGTTACTTACTTAGAAATCTTAGGGGTTTTGTCTTAAGGTATTAGGGTGAACTTGGCAATTACAGGTGTAGTTCGCTAGGTTTTTAAGGTGCTAGGGTGTGTAGGGTAGATTTGGAATCAGTAGAAATTGGAGGATAAGGGTTTAGGTGGATTTTCAAGGTTTCTTTGTTTTTTCTCTTGCTACAGGAAGGTTGTTCTGGGAACTTTATTGGAAAATAATAGTAAAAGACATACTGTTTACAGTTGTGTTTGAATTTCTGGACCTTCACCAGGACTCTTGGCTCCAAACAAAGCTTGCAGATTGGATTTTCAGGGTGGGCAGTCTTCTTTGGTGATAGTTGTTATGATCACATCAAGGAACTTTTAAATGACTTCAAGAGAAAGTTTTCTTATGCTGAGAAAAGTTACAAAAGGATACAGAAGGTGTGAGAGAATGAAGCTTTTTCCCTAAAGTGAGGGTTTTTTAATGCTAATCTGTGGATAGAATGCAGAGATGCAAGAGGGGCTTGGGCATCAAAAGGGGGATAATGATATGATCACATCAAGGTCATGTTAGAATATGCTTACACATGCAAAGCTGTCTTGTATAGGTTTTTGTTCCTTGGCATCATTGTACCTTTTTCCTCATGGTACAATCTGATCATAAACCTCATCATAAGAAGATACAACCCCAAGAGACCCATCTTACCACAAGACCCAATCAGCTTCCAGTCTTTGTACGTAAGACTAGCCAGATCATATCAACAGTAAGGTTGGAAGAAGGTGACTCATTGCAAATTTTGAGGGCAGCTTAAAAGTGTCTTTGGTTACAGCTCTTTGTGGTTTATCCGCCTTAGTTTGCTTCTTGCCCTCTTGGCTCTGCCTATGCGCCACAGTGTAGGAGTTCTACACCAGTAGACAGGGGGACAAGACTAGAATTTGAAGTAGAAGGGGCCATAACAATACCAAGACTATCAATAATGAAGATCAATCATGGAAAAGGACAATTTCAATATGAGGATGTTTTAAAATCTGATGCCAATTCACGATTGTGGTAAATGGGAACAAGGAAATTGGAAAAACTGGCCTTAACACTACAACAAATGACATCTTTACCCAGGGGTATAGAAAAGTAGTGTGGGCATAGAAAACTATTGGTAGGGTACTTTTCTATACCAATAAACAATGCTTTTGATACACCTATGTACAATATTTGAGATTGAGAAATTGAGTATTTTCTTTGCGCTGACTCAGCTGTATGTATTGGGACCCACAGGCAGTGTTACGGTGCACAGAATCTCAATTTTCTGTTTTTTGATATTTTTACCCTAAAATACAATTCTATGCTGATACAAGAGATCTTCAACCATGTTCAGCATTCTGTGAAGATAATGTAGTTTTCCAAGGTGAAAAAAGATTACATTTAATCTACAAAACGATTAATTCTGCATTAATTCTGCATTAATTCTGCATTATTCTGCATTAATTCTGCATTATCAATCATTTTGGTCATCAAATGCAATCATTTTTCACCTTGGAAAAATACATTATCTTTGCAGTGTATGCACAATCTTACACAAATTGACAGACACTCTCTACATATGTACAATATGACTGATGGACCATGCTTTCCCATGGGACAAGACTCAAGAAGGGCTTTGAGTCTAGATTTATATATACAGTCCTTGTGGTCATGTGAATATTTCCATCTGTGGGTATAGAACAGAACGGTTTGTCTAGGCATAGATGATACTATCTCTATGGATATAGAAAAGTACTTTACCCATAGATTTCTATGCCCACACTACTTTTCTATACCCCTGGGTAAAGATGTCATTTGGTGTAGTGTAAATGGATCCAAACACAGGCAACAAGAGATGATTTTCCCATGGGACAACCAATTGTATTCAACACAGTCTATGAGCCCAAATGTATTATTTTAGCATTATTTCTGAATTATTTCTGTGTTTTGGCTCAGAACCTGCATTCAGTGTAATCACTCTTCCAACAGGAAAAACATTGCTTGTTTCCTGTGAAAGAGGGTGTGAACTACAACCTTTTGGCCCAGGACACCACAAGAACATATGATGAAAGTTTGGAGGGACAGATAGATTTGTCTATTGTGTGCATGAAAGAGAGGTTTTCTTTGTCAGTTTCACTGTAAACATTATACACTATCCCCAAGTGGAAATGGGGAGATAATTGAGATTGTAGTTTGTCATGAAAGATATATCACTGCACACCTGAGCCAAGGCACCCACACTACATATGTGCAACAAGCTGGGTAAATTATTGGCTATAATGTACATACAGGTCTGCTCAGTTCCCTGCTCATCTGAAGAAGTAATTCACATGTGATACTTCATGTAACTTTTCCCAGTTTGACAAAAGTCCTAAAAATTGACTACATATACTTCCATAGTTACTCATGTAATACTCTGAAAGCCATTCAACAGTAACAGAAAGGGTGTTACATGAGGTTCACTTGATGGAATTACACCAAAACTATGAGTCAGTGAATGTAGTCAATTTTACAATATGTTGTCAAGATGAAAAAAAATTACAGAACACATTACATATGAGCCACTCATTCTGATGAGCCAATAGCTGAGCAGTTTTTTATGTACATGATAGCTACCAATTTTTCCATCCTTGTGCACATATGTAGTGTGGGTGCCTTGACTCAGGTGTGCAGTGATATATCTCTCAGGACAAACTACAATCTTAATCATTTTCCCATTTCCACTTGTGGATAGTGTATAATGTTTACAGTGTTTGGTCTTTGAAGAGAACAAAGGAATTGTTGAAACATGCCAAATTTGACACTCCTTTTGTTGGAAGGCAGTTCATCAAATATTTGGTGCAAGAATCTAGCATCAATGGCTTTTTGAAGAATTTTGATGTTGTTTCTTGGCTGTCCAGGGGGATTGTGGTGGTTTTTGGCTTGAAAAAAAGTCAAGATGTTGATTGTATATCTGGCTTGCTGTCAGATACTGCTGCACAGTACTTTGATAAGAGGGCTGTGGGGTGTAACTTGATGCCACAGTGCTATTTACATAATCCTCTGCGTGGACCACCCCACAGAGAAAGTGGTGGCAGGTTGCCTTGACCCACTACCCCAAATAGTTCAAAGCAGCTAAGGGGCAACCGGTCCCACAGCCTCTCCGCTTCCGCTTTTTGCAGTGGTTGCTTCAGATGTTGATATAAGTCAGCTTGGTCTGTAGAAAACAGCCTCCAAAACAAAGATACATTTTTTGAAAAGTTGAAATTAAAAAAATGAGATCAAGTCTGTTGGAAATTGGCAAGACTTGAAATAAAGATACACTCTTTGAAAAGTTGAAATTAATATGCAAGATCTAGCCTGTTGATGATTGGTGAGGCAGAGAGTTTGTAATGATTCCATATCTTTCCTGACACAAACCACCAATTTGTCTGTTTTCCTTTCAATCACTCCAATTTCCACCATGTGTTTTTGCAAATGAGCTCAGATGATTCAGAATCCCACCCTGGCCTATGTATGGGGGCATCCAGAGTCGATGAACAATTTTGTGGTGTATGATGACAAAGAGCCTGATTTTCCCACATATGGCTGGCTCTTGTATCCTGACAAGCCAAAAGGGGCTGAGCTCTATGATCAGGTTTTGAGTCAAGAGAATGAGCTGGCAGCACAGCTGATGACACTGTGACATAATTTCAAACCATGGATCTTATCTAGTAGTGGTAGAACATAGCACATTAAGACCCACAGCTAAAGCTGATATTGATATGGGTGCCAGCCCAGGACTCAGGAATGCCCCTATATAGGGTAGTGATCTGGAGAAGTGCCTTTTGAGGTCCCGTGGTGTTACAATTCATGGGATATGAGCAGCTCTGATCATTTCTGACCATTTATGCTTTTGATTATTGCTATCCTCTTACTCATGTACCATCTTGGGTTGAATTATCTTATCTTCTTCACCCTTTCTAGATATGTTTTTGGAATATAATGTTTCACATACAAACAGAGTGGAGATTGCTT